CAAAGACAAGATAGGAGATATAAATTACACAAAATTAAAAGTGGCCAAGTTTGGACAACACTGACCTAAAGCATTCAAAGTAAGGAATTCAATCTGAGGCATAGGAGACATCACAGAAAGGGTATTGGCCACAGAAATACGGATCTAAATAATAACATCAGGGGCTGATAGTGGCCTATGCAGCTCCTATTCAATCTCCAAAGTGGTGTTTCCTATCTGGTGAGACAGGGGGTTCATTGCCTGGCAAGTGTAACTCCCCGACTGAATGTTATTGACCAGCAGTTCAGCCATTCTGCTGATTTCCTTCCCATTGTGGAACCAACGATACTCTGCTTCGGGAAACGAACTGGCTTTGCAGTTGACTTTGAGGTTGGATGGCTTGATAGGAAACGTCGCAGTCACCGTGATCACAAGAGAATCTGGACCATCTGGAGGGAAACATACAATATGGAAGTGTTGAGGGCTTGATAGCAGTTGGTTATCACTCCTTTCCCCCTTCAGAACCTTAAAAATCCTACCGGAGAAAAGACGCACTCTGAAAGACCGTCAATTTATTGGAACAGACCTCTCATTTAGGGTTCTAGAGCAATTTACGATAGAAGGTAAAATTCTGGGTTGTTGAGATACTTCCTTCCTCCATTCTCCTTCTTTCTCCTGTCCTATTAGAGGAAAACTGAAGGAGCAATGTAGTAGGGTATTTAAAGAAAAAAACTCAAGAAAAAGGAACTACATATCAGAGAGAAAAATGAAACTAATTCTTTGCACATGGTGAACATAGTAGCCTAAATGGTCCCATTGGTTACTCAATTTTTGTCATTTTCAGCAAGAATAGATATAACAAAGTAGGGCGCCTTTGGGAGGGGGGTCAAAAAGGTCAAGAAGGCACCTCCCCCTGAATGCCCCAGTAACAAAGCATAGTGTGCTGTGTGAATGAAGGCTGTCATTGGGTCAATGAAGTGACAAGGACACGGGCAGGAATCTATTCTGCCTTAGGAAAGAGACCAGCATCTGGTGCTGCTTTCAGCTTTAATGTGGGGCAAGCTAAAGAAAACAGATCCCTCCCTTTTTTGGCCCACTCCCAAAATGTCAGCAGCTGGGGGAAGAAATTAGTCCCTCTCTTCAGTGGGGCTGGGGGAGAGGTGATTTTGACAGGTTGCTCAAGCAGCAGGTTTAGTTGTCTATCAGAACTAGCTTTGGGGCAGGTGTTGTTCCTAGGTGTGTCCAAAGAGAGATGACCATTGGCTGATAGTTGCCTTCTCTGCGGTGGCACCGGCCTTCTGGAATGAGAGTTGCGTTTAGCTCCCTCCTTGATAATGTTATGGAAGTCTTTAAGAACTTGGCTGTTCTCCCAGGCCTTGGGGTAGGTACTTATGGAGTCCCGGTTGTGTGTTGTGTCACAACAGTGTGATGAGGATTGTTTGTCTGGATGTGCAGATTTAAAAAAAAAAAACTTTTTATTTTTTAGTGTAAGCTGCTCAGAATCATTCTGGAGTTGGGAGGCCTTTAAGTCAAATAAATAAAATAAACTAAACCTTGGGCACCTTTTAGATACCAGTTTAGTGCTAGTCTGGCATTCTTCTGGAATAGCTCTATTCCAGAACAAAGGAACCACCAATCTCAAACTTGACTGCATTCAGAAGCACTTTCAGACATGCTAAAAGAGATTTCAAAGCAACGTCTTGCAAGCTAGGGGAGCTTGGGTTGGGCCCTTTTTTTATACGTTTTAAAGGAAAAGCCTCTGGATTCCAGTAACTCTGAAACTTGTTTATGCATTCAAGTGGAATTAAACTGCAATAAAAGAAAAGGGAAGGAGCTGTTACTAGTAGCAGGGGCATCTCTATGTTTGGAGGGGGGAATAAAAAAAGTCAAGATGGGGTCAGGTTCCACT